GTTGGTCAGGCGTCTGACTCTTGATTCCGGCTCAGGTCATGATCACAGGGTCCTGGGATCGAGCTCTGCGATGGGCTCTGTGCTGGGTGTGGAGCCTGCTTAAGATTCTCCCTTCCCTCTCCCTTTGGCCCTCCCCTCCTGCTCCTGCTCGCACTCCCTTTTTCTTTCTCTCTCAAAAAAAAAAAAAAAAAAAAAAAAAGAAAGAAAGAAAAGAGAATTCTCCTAACATACAACTAACTGTTAACCGTTCTTAGATATACAGATCTGTGGCCCTTAGAACATTCACAGTGTTATTCCACTGTTACCCCTGTCTAGTTTCAGGACATTTTCCATCTCCCCAAAAGGAAACCCCATGCCTATTTTTTTTAAGATTTATTTATTTATTTGAGAGAGAGAGAGAGAGAGAGAGCAAGCACATGAGCAGGGACAGAGGCAGAGGGAGAGGGAAAAGCATGCTCCTGGCTGAGCAGGGAGCCTGACACGGGGTTCAATCCCAGGACCCTGAGATCATGACCTGATCTGAAACCCAGGAGTCAGACACTCAACCAACTGAGCCACCCAGGCACCCCGAAACCTCCTGCCTATTAAGCAGCCTTTCCCCATTCTCCCTTCTCCTCAAGCCTGGCAACCACGAATCTGCTTTCTGTCTTTATAGTTTGACCTATTCTGAATGTTTTGTGGAAATGAAATCATACAATAAGTGACTTTCTGTGTCTGGCTTTGTGTGGAGCTAACTCACAGCCTGCCCCCCATGGAAGAGCTCTTCTGGCTGTGAGGGGAGATCCCAAGGCCCTCTAAGAACGGCATTCATCTGAGTGGACTCTGCTTTGTGGGCGTCCCGTTGCTTGGGCCGAACGTCAGGTCAGCGTGTGTGAGGGGCACCGGCCTCCTCCCGGAGAGTTTCTCTGCAGCAAGAGAAGGAGGGCAAGGATTGAGGGAGTGTGCAACTTGCTGAATCTCCCTCCTGTCTTCCTCCCACCATGGACCCCCGCTGTCTTGTGGAAGGGGTGTTCTTTTGCTTCTCTGCAGGTCCTCGCCATGGCATAGATTTTATCTGTGTGTGTGTGTGTGTATGGGTGTGAAACCCAGTGTTCCTTCCTGGGATGATTTGATTGATGTATGCACTGGAAACATCTTTAATAATTTAATGCCTGCTTCAAAGGAGATTACACCAAAAGCACATTGCTTTTCATTTATTCATTACAGATCCGTCATAGCAGAATTTTTTTTTTTTTTGGCCTGAGTTGTAGTGTTGGAGTAATAATAAATTGTGTTCTACACTGTGGATATTTTAAAGCATTATAAACCTTTAAACTCCTGTTACTGTCTTACTTAAATTGATCCAGTTGGTAGCATAGCACCTTAATCTTGCATTTTGTAAACCTGAGCTAACCCGACGCGGCTTCCTGTGATGACGGTGAGGTAACCATGGTGGGAAAGCACAACAGACCGAATGGGATGCAAGAGTAATACTGCGTGTTCACGGCGGCGCCCACAGTGGGGGGAGAACAGAACCTGCGTTCAGGGCTGGGCGACTCCCTCCTTGGAGAGAGGTTAGGGTCTCTCCCAGCTGCCTGCCTGAAAAGAAGAAAAAAAAATGTATATGTGTTTGGGAATTGGGAGTGAAGAAAAAGGGTATGATGAGAAACACAAAACTAAAAACTAAAAGCCAACTCACACCCGTTTTGCCACATTTCGGTACACGTCCAGATTTCAGGAAGGGAAAACAGACTTCTGTTGGCGCAGAAGTCACCTTACCAGACGTCAGTACGTTCTTGTAATACGTTCTCAAGAGAGACAAGAAACAGGTCTACACTCCTAAATGATCACAGCAAATTTGGGGTTTTCTCTGTTATTATCATTCAGTGTTTTTTTATTATAAAATTCTGTATAACTTCTCCTTAAAACCAAAACCGAATGTTGCTCCGAATAGGGCGAGTTAGGTGCACTAACAGTTTCTAGCAGGGTGATACACAATTATCCAATTCTCAGAAATAGTCTAAAAAGAACTCCGCTTCTGGTGGCCATCAGTGCTGTAGTGTTTCCGGAGTTCTGTTAGGTAATGCTTTGGGGACTCTGCCTAGCCATCTTTGTAACGTTCCCTCGCTGGGTCACACCAGAAGTCTTTAGTAGAAATCCAGAAATGTTTTGTTCTCAGGTCGGTAATTCTTTCAATGTTAAAAGCAATGCTGCATATTGCGGGGTCACACCTCCTGGCCATTGGAAGGACACTCGAGCGTGAAGTAGAAGCTTCTCATGGTATTTCTTTAAGGAAGGACACCAGGGCTTGGGGGCAAACTCTCGCCCGGGGTTCAAATCCTCGCCTTGCATGGTCGCCGCCGCGTGATGCTGAAGGCGTTGCGTGGTTTCTCCTTTTCCTGATGTGTGTGCGGGACATAAGAGGTGTACTTTGCAGGGTTGTTGGGAGGGTTTCACGAAATGATGAGCACGTAAGCGCAGAGCATGACACTCAGCACCGATGGGAGCCGGGGGCTCCGTGGATGGACCCCACCTGCACACAGCATTCCCGCAGGCTTGCATCGGTTGCCATGACCGAGACCGGGTGGCAGGCTGCCGCCCGCCACGAAAGGTCCCCTTCCTGATCCACATCCTGGGCACTTTTCTCCCCGGGCCATATTACAGTGTGCCCTGTGACTGCCCAGCTCTGAGTTCCTTGATTCCTGTCCTATTTGTCTCTGAATGCCCAGCATCCAGAGTCCTGCTCAGCACAGATGGGTACTCCAGGCCCATTCATGAATCACGGTGACCGAGCCTTCCACATGTCTTTTAGGGTCACACAGTGAGTCTCCCCCACATCCTTCAGAGTCCCTAAGAAAGGAGCTCGCGGTCTCTGGGCTTGAGAACCCCCAGCCTTTTCTTGGCCTCTCATGACATGTGAGTAGGAAGCTGCCCACAGTGATTCTGACTTGGCTCCTTGTTCTAGCTCTTTCCCATCTGCGGCCCCCTCTCTGCCCTAGGGTCCAATTGAGGAAGCCCCCTCAAAGCCGTTGCTGCTCAGGGGTGCATCCACACCACCTTTGGCCCCGGACATTTCCTCTGCCCTGCTTTCATGATGACAGCGCCCATCTTGCTCAGCAGACTCTTCCTTGGCTTATGAGTGTTCTCTGTAGAGAGAGTGGGACAGGGGTGTGGGCATGTGAGCATACTGTTTTGCCTCTTGGAAACTGGAGGTTTTTCTCACCTTCATTCATTTCAGTCTTATACATCCTTCCCAAGCATTGTAGGCTCCAATTCATAAATCTTTGTCTTTTCTCTTGGCACCATCTGGCAGATCCACCCCCGTACATGCCCATTTCTGTCCAGCATTTGGCCTTCCCAAGGGCCTCACCCTGGGCAGCAAGCTTAGGGATCGCAGGGGCCCCACACTGTTTGACATTAAGCATCTGAATGGAAATGTGGAAGACCCAGCCTCGCTTGTACAATGATTTAAGCTGCATGATGGCAAACGCCATGGTTATTGGAATATCTTAAGAACAACTAATTTTTTTTCTTTCATTTTTTTAAAAGTGTATCTTTGATACCATGCGGTCAAAACTGAGACTCTATTTTGGGCAGAATTTAAGACTTCACGGTTCAACTCTTTTCCTCTTTAAAATAATGTTGTGTGGAGTTTTGCCCTGAACTTTTGGTTCCACTCTGTTTCGTTTTTTTTTTTTTTTTCTTTTTTCTTTACTTCCAAAAATGGAGAGTATTACATTAACTCTTACAAGAAGACCGTTAAGACCTCATAAAAAGCATCTGAGCAGTTTGAGGAGAATGGACTTCCAGAGCTGGAAGTGGGGGCGGTCAGGGTGAATTGCATCTCAGACCTTCATTTTACAGGTGCTGGAGGACCATGTGACCTGTCCAGTGTCAACCAGAAAGAGGCAGGTCTAGGGTCCTAACTTAGAATAAATCCTGTGTTCTTTCTATACTATACTTTAAAAGAAAAGCTGTTATTTTATTGCAGGCAGTGAAGAATCTAAGGGCTCCAGGACAGAGCGTGTCCTACAAATGGGAAGCGACTCTAGTGTTTTCTTAGGATGTGATGTACCAGATACAGTGGTTGGCACTGCATGTAACTTCTCTCATTCATTCCCCCCGGATGTTTTATTATATTCTCATGTTACAAGTGGGGACTCTTCTCATGTTACAAGCAGTGAGGTGACAGCCAGTAAGTGCCTGGCCAGGGCTTGAACCCGGGCTATTCTCCAAAGTCTTGGCTCTGGAAGTCGGCCTCCTGCTGTCTTTTAAATCAGATTTACATGTATCCAGATAACTTGGAAAACAACTAATTTGAGCTCATAAATTCTTGAGCACTTCTCATTTTTATAGAAAGGACGTAGGGTTTCTTGGCCTTGGACCTGCACGACCGTGTTTGTGTTCTGAGATACACTGTGAGCCCCCAGGCATTGCGTGGGCAGAGGTCCACATTTGGTGCCAGGAAGACTGGCTTCACGTCCTGGTGCCACCACCTTGGCCCTCTTTCTCTATTTAGAGATCTAAATACACACCAGGTAGTCACGATGAGGAGGATGAATTCTCCACAGAGACTTTTTTTTAACCTCCTCCTCTGGGCCGGACGCTCCGCTCTATATTGGCCAAAGGCCCTGCAGTCTGGCCTCGTCTCTGCCTCGGGGCTTATGAGCACCAGTCCTGGAGTCACACGCCTCTGTCCAGGCCTGGCTGTCCACTTCCATACAGCGGGATCTTGGGCTAGATATTTGGTCTCTTTGTACCTGAGTTTTCTCACCTGTAAAAGGGGAATAATACCAACCTCATGGGATTGTTGTGAGGAGCAAATGAGGAAAAATCCCTGTGAAGAGTGCATTCAGTAGGTACTCAGGAAAGGTTAGCACGTTATCTGCTGCAGAGCACTACACACGTGTGAGGAAGTTTTACGTGACTGTAGCATAATCATCATCACGTCGTTATAACGTGCAGTGGAAAATCTCTGTTGCCCTGCTTACTTTTATCCGTTATTCATTCTGACCCACCAGAGACCAGCGGAAATAGTAGATGAGGAAGAAGATGGAGAAAAAGCAAACAAGAATGCAGAGCAGAAAGAAGATTTTTCGGGAATGAATGGTGAAGTGGAAGACGGAGGAGAGAAGGAGGCTACAGATGCCTCCGAGCAAGTTGAGGGGGTCCCAGATCACAGCGAGGAGCAGGCGGTTCCCGCCCGCATTAACGGAGGCACCGATGAAGAAAATGGCGAGGAGCTGGATCAGGTTAATACGGAGCCTCAGGAGGAAGTGGATGAGGAATTGAAGTCGCAAGGAGCTGGCAGTGGACAAGATGAGGTATTTCTACTGCTTTTGCTCACTTGTGTTCATGTGTGAATGCGTGTGTGGTGCACACGCCCATGCACTTAGGGAATTATTCAAGCACTTAAGAGTTGCGTTGAAACCACTTACTGTTGAGCAGGGAAGGACTCAATACCATTTACTTGACTATATTATTTCAGGCACTTTAAAGTATGGTCATCCACCTGTCAGAGAATCCACGCATTGTCCTGTCATCCACCCATCCACACACTCATCCATCCGTCCACCCATCCACCCAGTATCACCCACCCATCCACCCACTAATCACCCAGCCATCCACCCATCTGTCCATTCATCCATCCATCTACCCACCTATCCACTCACCCACCC